ATAGCCAGCTTGTTCCAGCTCACAATTTGTTTTTCCTCTTCCTACAAGAAGGTGTTTGGAAAGAAAGGAAACAAGGTACCGCACCACTTTATTATCATTTATTGACCTTATGGCCTGAAACTGTTAAATGCATGGCTCATGATAAATGGGAACAGAAATAGGTTGCTTGGTGATAGAAGAGGTAGAAGAAGAGTCAATAAATCCACTACCAGTATATTTTTTTTTAAATTAATTACTATGATAACAACAATAACAATAATAATGATCAGGGCAGAAAATGCAACCAATATGAAAGGATTAACGTGTAAACTTAAAGACTACTTCCCATTTCTTATCATTCTTTTAAAAGATAATCAACTTTTTAATATATCCATTCAGATATTTTCTGTGCTCGTGTGGACGTATCTGCATTACATATGTTTTTCTTGCATTACACAAGCATAATTACGCTATACTGTTTTGCAAACCTTTTTACTTAAAAAATATATTGAGGCATCTTTCCATATTAGTACATAGGGCTCTACTTTCTTTTTTAATGGGTAATTCCATGGTATTAATGTATCATCATTTATTTATCCAGATCCATACGGATGACATTTAGATTACTTTCACGCTGTTTTAAGTGTTATAAAAAGTCCCAACTTATCTTTCCTGAAATCTCTTTCAATAATTTTTGTTCTGGAATTATTTGGAATAAAACCCTTAATCTATCATTTAATAGATCTTTAAACATTTGAAAATCACCATCATATCATATGGGGAGTAAATGGCAGAACATATGAAAGAAAAGTTTTGAGTTATAATACTCAGGTATCAGCAATCAATAGGAGAAATGATTTCCTCAAACACAATCTAAGCATCTAACAACATGAAATGCATGCCGAACTTAACGGTCTATGAAGCTGATGGGATATTATACAATGATTATAAACATGTATCTAATGCAGCATCATGACAAATGTTACGACGTTCAGTGAAAGATGACATACAGTTGCATATGAACTGAGATTAACTATGAAATGTCTGCATATGAAAAGGAGAGAAATAGTCAGATGAAATGTGGCTGAGTTTGGGTGGTAAGAACATAGACCAACATTTCCTTTTAAAATAAATATTAATAAATATTCCTTTAATATTTTATATTGTTTTCTACCATAAATGAAAAAAAATTTTAAATATAACTATCACGAAGACCAAGATCCTCATTTTCAGTTTCAAGCTCTCACAGCCCTCTTTCTTCCCTGATTATTTTAGAGAGATCAGCCCTCACAGTAAATAATCAGGTGTTAAAATTCTTGATGGCAAAATTACAATCAGCAAACGAAGCCTGAAGTGTGACTGTTCACTAGAGGACACAGTGGTATGGAAGGGAAGGAGTTTGAGATCAAACAAGGAAAACAAGGGACAGTCAGGAAAAGCTCCCCCTTAAACCACATTCACAATCAGCCAGTGCCACCATTTTTGTTTTATCTACACATGAGTAGAGAACTGGTATGAACTTCCAGAACATAGCAGTCAGGGCAATGTGGGGGTCAAAAATCAAGGTAATGATTAGGACTTGGGTGCTTCAGTAAGGAATGGTTATACTTTCAAGCCAACACAAAGCTGTTATTTTAGCAATTTAAAGTCTCAAGCTCTGGTCATATTAGCAATATCAATATTTTTTAAATTCATAACCACTCATTTCACCCCCAATTTCATCCATTTATTTTATAAGTACTGACTAATTCCTTGAAAAATTCTAAGTCACAACGGGCTTTTTTTTTTTTTTAAGTATTCCTTGTCTTGATAACCTAATATTTTGCAAACCTTTGGCCAGCAATGAATAATGACAGACAAAGCACTAGTGGGTAAAAACAATGATTCCGTTATTTTGGCTGTTGTGTGCTTTCAGTGTGAATGGTTGTTTATTTACAATGCCACAGCATCACCTTGGTTCTGAAGAGAGTGGCATATGTGCTCTAGTTGCCCAAACATTAACTACTGATGGGTCACATTTGCAGCTGGGAGCTTCACTCTAGAAAAATAGGAAGAGAAACGCTCGTGCTTGTAATTAGGAACACGCTCCAGTGTTCATGCTCACACTTACAGGAAGATAACGATGAAATCTTGTCTATTTTGTCAACTGATCCACTTTCAGAATAAATTCCCTTTTTCAGCCATCTCCAGGGAATAGTTTTATTAACAACTTGGCAAAGATCTAAAAACGCATGCTTATCAAATCTTCCTAACTTCTGTCACCAAAATACTTCCCAACTTCCTATTACGTGAAAGAGCGATGTTGGGCCTTCAGATACATTTAAGACACCAGGATGAAGAAGGCACGAGCCTTGTTCTCAAGGAGCTTACAGCAGTCTCATGGAGTTGGGGGAATATCACAATTAAAAACCAGTCAATATGTAATCATCAGTAACAGAATCAGGACTGAAAAGCATCTCAATACTTAGTAATAATGGGATAAAATAAGATGACACCTCAGAGATTTAGGTGATCAAAATCAATAGTACAACCACAAAAATGCAGAAAGCCTTGATTGATGGCAGCTTGTATAAAAAAAAGATGTAAAAGTTTCAGTTGAGTAGAACTCCATAAAAGTCAACCATGTGAAATGGCTGTTAAAATAGCTAACCTAAATTAATAGAAATATTATGTCCAGATCAAGGAAGGTAATAATCCTACTGTCTCCAAATCCAGGGTCACTGGTGTTTTATAAGGCTCATTTAAGAGGAACACCACAAAACTAGGAGTGCATGCGTACATTCATGCTTGCTAGCAGAGCAATGACAGAGCATCTGTAAATCATATTATGCAAAGAGATTAAAGGAACTGAAGATACGTAGATTAAAAGAAGACCTGGAGGTGAGCAGTGGAGAGGGTAGCACACAACAGTTGTGATGAATACCTTTGAGCTGGTAAAAGAGGGCTCAGTGTGCTCCATGGAAATTTAAAAAAAGGGCAGATTTTGCCCCAACAAGAAGAACTTCCAATACTTCAGGCTTTCCAACACTGAATTATTTTGTAGAGTGATAAACTCTATGGCTAGTTGTAGTCAAGCAGAGATGGATGACCATTTATTAAGAAAACCCTGGAAGCAATTCTTACACTGGGTAGAAATTTCTAACAGATCTTTTAAGCTCTTCCTAGGTTGGAAAAGCTTGTGGCTACCTTGTTAGCTGCAGGCAAGAATATTAAGAAGATGAGACCAAACCATAGCTACTTTAAGAGCAGTGGACAATCTCAAAAAGCAGAAAAGAGGTCAGGTATCACCAGTATCATCTAAGACCTAGAAGGCTTTGCGACTTTTAGATGACTGTCAGAGAGGTCTGGGGAGGGAGGCCAACGATGGCCAACCCACCTGCCTGTCAGCCAATAGCTGGCCCGACCACAGCAGAGCCCTCCTATTCCCACTGCTTATAACAGATGCACCAGTCTCAGAGATTCCAGTTTTTCTTCGCCGCCTTAAGTAAAAGGCAAGTTTAAAAATCCCCTTTCCTCCAGTCCTCTCCCTATTAATTCTCATTTTCTGTGCACGAAGAATGACAAAACTTCAAGAATCTGTAATGTTCTCCTCTTTTTGGGGGGACTATGAACCTAGCAGCCCACATGTTATTCCTACCTAATAGGTTCATGAGATTTTTGTTCCACATGGAAAAGGGAATATTGACCTGCTGTGGCTGGTCTATTTAGAAGGGCTTAACAGAGGAAACCCTGCGCATTGGGCTGCTCAGTTTCCTCAGGCCCACTCAAAATTTTAAATTGGGCTGGATCTAGTATGTTTTCACCTGTGCCATAGATTTGTGAGACATGAACAAAAATGTTTATCATAAGTGAGCTGTGATAATTATCATCCTGAAATTTATGACACTAGGAACAACATAACAGCCAACTTTAAAGTTTAGCTCTGAGAAAACAAGCCTCAAATTATACGTATGTCCTGTGAACTCAGTTGCCAATCTTAAATCCTATGCCAGGAACACTCCCTATTTAAGGATACAATCAATGAACAAATAAATACTGAGAGGCTACTGTGAGCAAGAACTCATGTGAGCTCCAATGAAAGACAAACGCCCATCCTGGCCTCCCTAGGTTATGACTGTGGCTGATTATTGTCATGCTCAGGGTGTGAGACAACCTGAGTAACACCCAGTGCCTCTTATATAATTCTATTTATTTTAGGAAGTGAAATCTCAATTCCTTCAATAATGGTACTTGAAATAGAAACCATGTTTTAGTCATTCACATAAAACTGCCACACTGAAGAAAGCATAAAGCAGAGGAACGTCTACTAATGTCAAATAATGAAATTACCACTGAAGAATTCCATGTACTGCAAGAGGTATCCCAAAGGCTCAACCTCCTTAGGGTTGGTAACATTTGCTTAGTCAAGATATTTTTCTGGAAGCCAGTAAGATATTCAGAAATTAGAGCTTTATGGTGAAAAACAGGAATGTTTTAAAAAATAATAAACTTAATTTTTAAAAATCCTCAAAGGTCATGGGTTATTACAATCATATAGATGGATAGGTCTTGCAAATTAATGAGAACAACAGATAAAGTGACAGTGTTAATAAGCAGTTTCAGAAGGTATATTTTAGCAGTATGTCTTTAAATAGAATATATAGTCTCAGTGTGGTGAAACATAGCTTGTAAATCACCAACACTTCCTCCTTTCTGTAGGTAAACATAAAGGAATGAAAAGAGAATGAATAAACTACCCAAAAGCAAAACCCCATACCATGTGTATTTCAGGTGGATGAAAGCATTCAAAGGTTGGTTTGTGGGCACAGTCATGGCATCTCAGGTCCCCAGTCAATTCAACCGCCCTTCCAGGAGCCAGAGAGCAAGGAGATTTTTGGTTGACTATGTGTATTTATCTACCCAGCAAGCAGGGGAGATCTTTGGTCTAGTAAAAACGGTAAAGGAGCCAAGAAAATCTGCATATGTTGGGACTTCTACCTACACTACATGCTAAGTAGATGGAGAAAACAGACTTGACTTACCTGCACTGCCGAGCTGTTTATAAAACCTGTACTCTAAATGAAGCTGTGGAGCACGTGATTTTATTGGTTCCTGAAACCCAAGAAGAGAAATTGTGATCAGATTTAGACAAATAGGATTTTTTCATTCCTAGGTTTCCAGAGTAAACCAGGGCTAAAACCACTTAATGTTTTAGAGATGATATTTATAAATGATAGCATTTTCTTACCACAATTTCTCTTTGAAAGCACACCTAGGGGAAGATGAAGCTGAACTATATACAATCCTTTCCATGGATATTTAAATAAAAATATGCTGTATGAGCCATCACTCAAGGATAGCTCCCTTACCATGAAGTCATCTCCTGAAATATATTCTAGGAAACCAAATACCAAGCCCTTTAATTAAATATCAGGATTTATTTCCTGTTTGTTTTATTATGAATTTTGGGTAGTAAATGGTTTTATTCTTTTTAGAAAAATGATATATGCTCAGGAAAAAAATTTCATACACAAAAGACTTAGAAAGCAAAAATAACCTGAGTCCTATTATTTAAAAGAGAAGCACTGTTAACATTTTGGTGAAATGTTCTTCCAAATACTTATTTATACATATATTTATATATAATATAGACTCAAAAATGTATTTTAAATAAATGAGATCATACTGTTTGATATTCTGTAATGTGCCTTTAAATTCAACAATGTGATGATGACATCTTTCCAAGGCAGTAAGTAAAGCTGTATTGCGTCTGTTGTGTGTGTGTGTGTGTGTGTGTGTGTGTGTGTGCGCATGCACTCAAATCATGACTTTTGGACATGTGAACTATTTTCAGTTTTCAATGTTATGAAAAATGAAGTAGGAACAGTCTTATGTATATTTATTTTTACACTTAAGAGAATTAAAGACTGTGAATGCAATTACGATATGTAATTAATATGGTGCTCAAATTTTCAAAATTAGAGTTTTCTAAAGACCCCAAAGCCAAACTACCACACTTGGCTCTACACCAAACTTCAAGAATTGGCTAGCTAATTATTCTGAATCGACAGTATACAAGGCAACAAGAAAATCAAACACTACCCTAAAAGATACATTTGTATACCCATTAGGATGGCTCTATCAAAAACACAGAAAATAACACGTGTTGGCAAGGATGTAGAGAAACTGGAACCCTTGTGCATTGCCAGTAGGAATGTAAAATGGTGCAGCTACTATGGAAAACAGTACAGCAATTTCTCAAAAACTTAAACACAGAATTACCATATCATCTAAGCAGTTTCACTTCTGGATATATACCCAAAAGAAGTGAAAACAGGGATTCAAACTGGTATCTGTAGACCCATGTTCACTGCACTATTATTCACAATAGTCAAAAGATGGAAGCAACCCAAGTATCTATGAACAAATGAATGGATAAATAAGATACGGTTACACTGTGTTCCACATATATGATGGAATATTATTCAGCCATAAAAGGCAGAATATTCTGATACATGCTACAAAATGGGACGAAAGCTTGGGGACATCATGCTAAGTGAAATAAGCCAGACTTAAAAGGACAACACTGCGTGATTCCACTCATATGAGGTACCTAAATAGCCAAATTCATAGAGACAGAAAGTTGAATGGTGGTTGCCAGGAGCCGGGGAGAGAGGGGGAAAGATGCTGGTATTTGATGAGTACAGAATTTGAGTTGAGGAAGGTGAAAAAGTTCTAGAGATAGATGACAGTGATAGTTGCACACCAGGGTGAATATACTTAATGCCACTGAACTGGACACTTAAACATGGTTCAAATGGTAAATTCTAGAAATCAATTCTTTATCAGATATATGATTTTCAAATATTTTCCCCCATTCCATGGGTTGTCTTTTCACTGTTCAGACTCCTTTGATGCATAACAGTTTTTAATTTTGAAAAAGTCCAACTTACCTATCTTTTCTTGCTTATGCTTTTTGTGTCATATTCAAGAAATGATGCCCAAATCTAATACTATGAGGCTTTTCCTCTAAGTTTTCTTCTAAAAGATTTAGAGTTTTAGCTCTTAGGTTTGTTTAGGACTTTGATTCATTCTGAGTT